TAGTACTTTCATTTCCAGATAATTTCTTCTAGTACTTTCATTTCCAGATAATTTCTTCTAGTACTTTCATTTCCAGATAATTTCTTCTAGTACTTCCATTTCCAGATAATTTCTTCTAGTACTTTCATTTCGTAGGAAGAAAGATTACAGAAGATACGTCTGGAACGATATAGAGACGATAAGCATGGCCCCTACGCAAGGACTCCCCGCACAAATTGGGAAAAAATCGAACAATAGAAAAAACACTCTAGTGGAATCGACAACGCTACTGCCTGATCACCACACCACCACACCGCCGAACGCCCTATGACTTCGAACAAAAGCTTCTCACGGTAAGAACAGCAGGGCTGCAGGGGGTGGAACCACCAATTACCCAAGCCCAACTTGTCACCTTGGGCCTCACTCCACTATTCTCGACATGCACAAAAGACAAAAATCATGACAATGTATCTTTCCACGTTCTAGTGGAAGATTCACTCTCGCTTTGCACATTTCGATAGTTGTGGAGCGAGGCCCCTTATCCTGAAAATTTTTCGTTTCGTGATTGGTCTACGAAACCGGAAGGCCAGTCCATACCAAGAACAGCAACTGCATTTCCAACCACTTCCTGCCACCCTAAGGTAGCGTACAAGGAAAGAGCAATGACCGAGAAAGACCCTGACCGCCCTCTAACCCGATGACACGCTGGCACCCCACTAGATTATCAAACCGACGCCGGCACCCCACTAGATCATCAAGCCTGACATATTTTCCTAGATGAACACTAGGACAACACAATGGATCTACTGCCTGCACGCCTAGACAGTACAACGGGCTTCCTGCACGCCTAGACAGTACAATGGGCTTCCTGCACGCATGCACTGCCCTCGCGTCGAGACATTAGTGGGAGGCCAAGGAACAGCAGAAGATGGAAAAGGGAGCAGGCAAGGAAAGAGACGACACGGAGAGAGCCAAGCGAGGAGGGCAAAACGTGGAATTAGGCTGCGAGAGATATCCACGCCTCGACGGACAAGGAGGGACACATCGCCGACAACGCATTCTGAAAGAAGCAACACAGAAAGGATGGAATACATTCTCACGGCCACAAGAGAGCCTCGCCGCACTACTCTCACCAAATGAGCAAAATGGAACACATCTTCTTCCACTAAAGCGTGGAAACACCCGCTGTAACCTTTTCCAAATTTGGTGAGTGGTGCAGCAAGGCCCAAAAACATCAATTACAACCGCACGGGTACAACCCACACAGATTGAAGTGACATGTGACACATACCGGCGAAGCCGGAAAAAAAAAAAAAAAAAAAAAGAAGAACATAGCGTGTCAGAGAATCGGATCATTTCCAAGTTGCGGAAAACGATAGAGGAGAAATTACAGAACATCGGGGACGAGATGGAGAAAGGGATGATGGGGGAATTACACGGAGGGAAAAACTAGAAGAAGGACGATTTTCTAAATTTCTACCTTTTTTTCTTGGTCTTTTCGCAAGCATTTTTACTGAGTCGAAACGAAAAAAAAAAAAACATGAACGAGCGCAGAAGAACACGAAACCTTCGAGTAATAAGAAACAAAAACACTTGAAAGAGAAGAAAACACAGGGTGATAGGGGCGGAAAGCATGGGACCATTTCCAAGTTGCGGAAGACAAAGGTGGCCACTCGAAGGATAATGAGTCATACCTGGCAGGAACAATAAGCACCCCAGAACGAGAAAGCCGAAGCCTTGAGAAGATTCCCCTTTCATGTGTCCAGTGAGAAGAAAATGAGCGAGAATCAAAAAGAGCGTGCCGAACACTAGTAAGAAAAAGGCCAGAAAGATCGATTGCCATGGAATTTCCTCCTTCAGTGTGTATGCATATCTCAAGTCCTCAATAGGTCCGTCCGACGTCCGATAGATTCTCAAGGCGGAGTCTTCGTCCTGAGGTAGCGACGAGTACCTCACCGACGGCCTGGTCCCCATGCTCCTACAACAAATTCTCCCCGTCGCCTTCCCGCCGACAACAACAACCTGTCAATCTCCGCGGCCGCCGATCAACAGCTTTTCTCCACGACCCTGAAGTTTATGCCCATTCCACACCACAAATTCAGCCCCGCCTTGGGGCGCCGCTCCACGACTCACCAAATAATGTGAACGAATGTCCCGCTAAAACATGGGAAGATACACCGCCATTTTTGTTGTCTTTTGTCCATGTGGTGAGTAGTGGAGTGGAGCGAGGCCCCTGGTCCTTACCCCCCTGCTCCCGCGACTCCCCGCTACCCCTTCCTTTCCAACGGATGTCCAAACTCCCACCCCTTGGGCACGCCCGCCAACAACGCCGTCAAGGATGGTGCCGGGCAAGCTCTGGCTTGAATTGTATGGGGAACGCGCCGAGAGAGCTATAACGCATGACCATTGATGTTCCTCGTCCTTGCCTTCCAGCAAGTCCGACTTCTCTGTCGCGTAGGACCACGAGTAAAATAAACTAGCTTACCTGTTGCGGCTTCGCCCGCAAAAGACATGGACATTTTGCAAACGAAAGCAAACAGAACGAGGGGTGTGGTGGCCTGAGTGCAGTTGGTTAACAACTACCTGGTTCTGTCCGTGATACTTTCACATATGTTACCTTGTCAGCACATCTCTCCCTTCGTGCATTAAGAAGTACTCTCTTTCAGATATCGCAAAATACACGATTCTTCACATTTGGAAGTTTCTCTTTACACTTTACTTTCTTTTCTCTGGATTTAACGATAAAAAGCAAGCCACTCCAAACGACCTCTCTCTCTCTCTCTCTCTCTCTCTCTCTCTCTCTCTCTCTCTCTCTCTCTCTCTCTCTCTCTCTCTCTCTCT